ACATATATTCACACTGACTGATGAATTCGTACATAATAACTGTTACAACTATACTGACCGAGGAAGATTTCCTAAACATATACTTATCGAATAAACACACACGTTTCACTGGAAGCAGAGAAAAGGCCACAGCAAATATTTGCACCGTCATATAATATATTCCATCATATTATACCCGAATGATAACTCTTCGATCCTAAATTATTAATAGTGTTTCCCGGGGTTCCCGAAACCTGCTGTGTTTAATACTTTCCTAGAGCTACACTTCCGAAAATGACCTATCCAGTAGGGTATAAAACTATAATTTGGCCAGAATAATAGATATCTATCTAAACTACTGCGGTAGACTCAATGCAAATAATTTAAGGGTTAAATCACTCGGCTTGTTTGCGCAAGAAAGAGTAGACTGTCGAAATTTGATTGCTTATTATAACGCATCCCTTTGTTCCATCATGTTTCCTCTGTCACCCCTACGAACATGACAGATTTGCACGATTATTGTCAGTGAGTCCACTGCATGTTATAATCACTTTTCTTACTCCATCTGCCTAACGGATCGCCGTATAGTAATCCCTTCCATAAAGGGTTTGGATTTGATCTTTATGCCTTGTTATCAAATCATTACACAAGCAGTGACTCACTCATAATGTCTGAGTAAGGATAGTTTCCCGGCACCAGTAGGGCGTGCTTGTGTAAATTGTCACAGCAAATGACCTGTGCAAGCGGAGAGAATGAAACCGATAAAAAATAATACAACTTGTATTGAGGATGTGCATCCTGAATTCCTTAATATTGTTGCTACTTGTGAGTAGTCAAGAAATTGGCAGTCTCTGGCCGTCTGATCAATCGGTCGCAGCCCGATTTGCAAAGCCCGTACAATTCAAATGCTTCACGAGAGCAAACGTGGTTAAGTTGGCAGGTGAATACTGATTAAACATCGACTAACGCATCCGGCTATATCAGACCGATGGGCCAATCGGGACGGAGCTTGTAGTGGAATAATCTTCTTTACCTAAACCGCTCTCTCCTTGCAGAAATAAACAACAGAAAATAGGGTAGAACATAAGGTTGACGGAAACCCGGAGGCCGCGCCTACCTGATGAGCCCCAGGAGGGGCGAAACAGGTTGTGGGCTGTCGAAGAGTTTCCACCAGCCTTGTGAGTAGTTTCCTTCAAGAAAATAGGGTACATTCAACAGGACAACGCAGACACACCTGGGGACGGACAAAAGACACCGACATCCCGCTTGTCCGGACAGGTACCTTGCGGTCCGGGGTGCCGTGGAAGTCTGTACATCCGGCAAATCTCCAACTTCCGAGGACTTCCAGTTCATAAAAGTCATATTTCCTAGCTATAAAGTAGATGTGGGTTATTAGCAGATTTCTGCAAGACTATTTAAAACCGTTTTTACAGTGCACACTTTTCAAAGCAAATCAGTATGCTCACTTGACTAGCTGGCAGTTGGAAAGCCGAGGCTAGTGAACGCTCAACTGTGTTTCCATAAATTGTGCATGATGAGAAGGTTTCCGATTTCATAAATTCATTTATATTTCTGTTTGGAGGTCAAACTGATTAACGATTATTGGTTATAAATCTTTGTTGTAGTCAACGAACACAACTATATGAGTAGCATAATCAAAGCCTGAGACCTGAATATCTGAGACCACTGGGGGTTCCAGGGTGGCTAAGTACGCCTACTGAGCGGCACAAAAGTACAGCGCTAACGACAGCAGATATTGTTTTTTTCAAATTCTGGTGTCCACACTCAAGGCTGGGGACACCTCGCCATAGATATGTATACAAACATTTATCTTTTCAATGTTCCATTGTCAGATTAACTATTTTTGTCATCTAGCACCTATTTGTTCCGAGATTATTGATCCATGTAATCGAGCGTAAATCGAAATCTAATTGAACAACACTTTAGCGTATGCTGTACCAGAACGCACCTTGGTCACGGGTAGGCACTCGCAGTCTAGTTTTCAAAGCAAGCGTAACATTAAGTGATGAGCACTTCAAATTCTCATGTCTCATTACATTAAGTTTATACCTGACACGTTCTAGTAGCAAATAACACCCATCAGAAGAGAATGCGAAGCGCACCTTTCAACAAAAAGATGCGGTGAAGCATATTACTTTCTTCAGTAGCTGTTTTAGTGCAGTGAGTTTGAAGTGTCCTGCTAGCTTCGGAAAGTGAATTCCCGACATTGTGAAGATGATCAGCCTGAATTCTTCATTAAATTGCAATAAGCAGAATGAAGCAGATTTTGATGCGATCCTCAGAGGGTACGTGAACCATTCCTTAAGAGGTTTGCGCCACAATCGAACATCACATGGCAAGCTAACTGATAGCTAGCCCAAAAGTGTACCGTGCATTTCGGAGCTTTCTTTGACAGCCTAATTCAGCTGACAACTGTTAAACAGTCAGTTGTCTCCTATCGTGACCAGACAATGCTGCCAAACTAGTGTCACCCAAGCAGAGAGAGGACAATGGTTGTCAGACAGCTACACATTTTCAGCAGCAGCTTCAAGAGCGACTTGGTTTGTAGGAAGAAAGCATATATCTTTTAATCAAACTCTCATAACAAAAGGTTTTCACTCCACCACATTGTCCATCTTTGGAATGTGGATACCTTTCATCTTAACCGGGTTTTTCGTCAAGGTTTGTTCTCAGTGGATGCGATCCAACAATCTAAACCGAAACTGATTCAGAAAGTTTCCAAAGCACAACACATTCACAAACTCAGCTTAAATAAATTTTTTAGGTTGTGGCTTACTTTGGTTATCTATCATATAGGTTACACAATAATGCAGTTCTCTAGCTGTTATTTGGTGAACACGGTTTAAGAGTGCCATGCAGTTCAAAAGTAAAAAGGTTGCAAGCGGAGACAATATGAATGATTTACAACTTTGGTAACTTCCCGAAGCATTCGAACAATTATTTTACCATCACTCCGTTTCAGCATAATTCAGCAATTCAGGTGGCGGCTTAAAAGGCTCGTCATAAGGTAGAAACATGGTAGAAGACTCATTTAAATTATATAGGCACTTAGGTTTTGAAGTACGACGCAACTATAGGATCGCGGGAATGTAGAAATGTAGGCAAGGCTATAAGTTGTGTTGGAATATTGGTAGCTCGGGTGCTTCATTTGTGGTTAATCAGACGGCTGTCGACATGTTCACCAAGCTTGGCAACTGACTTTCAGACGTTACACCACTATTCGAGGAGGCTTCATCAGTTTACACTGATGCGCTTTGGCGTTGACGGTCTCCTCAAAATACAAAGCATCAAATAGGTGACGTATTGAGCTGTGAAATTTACCCCTACTCTCAGGTTATTTCTGGCTTTAATGGGCACTCACGCCGATGAAATACTGAGGAGCACTATACAGCCGTTTCACCTCATTTGGAATCATCATCAGCATATATTATGTATCACCAGAGTTTGGAACTAGTAACCACCTGGCTTATAGATAATGACTCAGCTCTCAGGCCCCGATCTGCTGATCAGTAGAGTGGCAAACTTGCATCTTTACAGAATATACTGCCACTCATCTTTCAGTCATGGAATTCACTTCAAATGGTCACGTGCTAACTAGCTCACTGAGTGAAGACCTGCCGTATGGAGGTTTGCTCTTCTCTACCTTCTGAGCAATTCGGAGATTGTTCACAGTGTGAAGAGATTTTGGAAGTTCCAGTGCAGGTTTTTGTTGATATTGAAGATGCTTCAACCAAAACATTTTAAATCGCAATCAATGAGACCGCAAGCCTCTTACTTCAAGAATATGTGGGTGAAGTTTGTTATAGCCGGTTTTTCAAAGATTCTGCTTCCATGGCATGATGGCAAGCTCCAGACGGCTATCGTGTTCTTCTGAATTACGATAGAGTGGTGCAAGGATTCATACCAAACTTCTGGTCAGATCGAGCGAAGTTTCTCACAAGCAAAGTAACCAAAGAACACCAGAAAACAAAAGTCTTCACGACGAAGTCCTTCTGTTCGTCAGTCATGTTGTAAGACCGGTTGAAGAATGTAGTATCATTCTTCGTCAAAGCGTGCAGAACTGTCATAAGCAAGCGACTCTCTTGGAATCCAGATTAACCTACCTCTTAAGCCAGCGTCACATGCAAATTAGTGTATTTCGCCGACAAACTCTGATACCTCAATATACTTCACGATGGAAAGTGAGCGAACATTATCCTGTATATTCTTATACCTATTCCAAAGATCATTCCAGCAACAACTCTCACATTGATATATATTTAGTTCGCTTGTCTGCCCAGGTTACCGTCACTGGATTTCTAGCTAACCTGATATCACAGTTAGAGGTCCAGGGAAATAAGTCGACCTGCTAGCTCCCAACACCTGTGCCAGGCAGTAAACTTTTACTCGTTTGCTCAACAGGCAGTGGTTCAAACATGTGTAAACACTGCATTGTAGATTAGAGCTTGAACAGGCTCTGCATAATTGCAAACTGTAAAATGGAGCTGGGATAACTTGAGGTTGTGAAATATGTAAATCAATTTAATTGGTACAGATTATTATTGGTGCACTTCTCTTGTTTATGCTCTTTTGTTAAATCGAATCAAGTCTTTGGATTGTTTTAGCGTGTTACAGTAATTTGCAATATTCGCATATCGTGAACTTTAATGAACATGCTTGATTGAAGCTGAAAACGCTCGTCTCCCTATAGCCGTAAAATACACAAGTAAATCCTGAAATTGCCACTTCAAACCTAAAAAATCTGTTGCCCGTATTAACTTTGTTCAGCCACTAACAAGAGAGTTAACAGAATCCCAAATCTATCTCAATTCGGTGAGGTGTCATTCATCCAGGAAATCATGGCGTAAATCATTGGCTCAGCTCAGCAAGCCAATGAATTCCAAAGGTCTTGTTGATGCTTACACAACGCACATACCTGAGAGGCGGGTCTGAAGTGGAATAAACATGCCATTGCATCTTAAGAGTCGCTTGTTCCAGTGTATGACTGTACACTAGTCAACATGAGTAAGGACGTGCAAATCAACCCTTATATCAATTACCCTGTTGACAAAAAGTCAAAACAGATTGTCAACAAGGAGATCGCAGTCGCCCAGCTTGGAAAAACAAAACTCAAAGGCGCCGAAGCATTCAGCGAAGCAACGGCCAATAATCTACTGGAAAAACACTTGAAGAAGAAAGGAAAACCCGCTCCTGTCTACTTTCTAGTGGATCGAATACGTTTCAAGAAAAAGGGGAATCATGAATATCTAAGTTACAGAGAAATACAAAATTTTCACAAATTCGAACACTACCCTAACTTGTTCATGCTCTTCGTGGCTGAAGAGAAAAAAGGCAAAAGATCTTATGAAACCTACGCCTGTAACAACACGTCCGATGTACAAGCGATTCGCGACATGATTAATGCTGCACACAACGATCCAAAAAAGTTGCTGCAAGATGTTGGGCTAACCAGAATGCTTTCTCTATCGTCATCGTCAAGCTCAGAATACTATATTGACAGCCATCCACAAAGCAGACCGTCATCACGTCATAGATCCACTCCGTATGTTCAGCAAGAGCCAATGGAATATGTATACTTGATGGAGCCGGAACAACCGATTGTCTATCAGAAAACATACACGCGACCACAAAGTACGGCTTCCAGAGGCTCTGTTGCCCCACCTGGGGACGTCACATATTTGAGGTCAGATAATATAAACGGACCACAGATAATGGACCGAGGACCTGTGTATATGTACGTATCTCGCTCTAAAAGTGCGTACAAAGAAAACGATACTCCCGAGTACTATCGGAAAACTTATTACTGATGCAACAATGGGTAGGTGGTGTACGACTGAACTGAAATGTGTAGTCATTAGTTCAAACAACTTTTAGCTGAATTAACATGTGTCAAACAAACCTAATACCAAGCTGGATCTACCTGCAGTTGAAAAGTCTACAGGCACCTGAACGTGGAAAAAAACATTTGTTCTATTCCATTTCTTATAGGTGATCCCGTCTGCTGACTGAACGTCTGATTCCAGCTGAGAATGAATCTTGCTGATTCGTACCTTTTACCTTCAATATACGTTACGTTTGTAAAACAAATAAAATGTCGTTCATCTATTGGTTCTTATTTTTAATAGTCTAAAACTAATGCATGACGAATGAGCTGAGACTCAATAAAGTGATAGTTGCTCACTGTTTGTTTTTTTAAGAAGTGTATCTACAACTACCCAACCTTCAGATCACTCAAATTACATATACTCGGTTAAACTACCAACGTATTTAACATTGCGTTTATTTACTAAAACACATACCATTTGCTAACTCTAATCCTAATGAATTCTACAAGACAAATCGTGATTTAAATGACATGTGGGAAAATACCCTCAAGTCTTCCTAATAGATCAGTGACTGGCGTAACTCTCACCATCATCTTTATGTCATAATCGCATTTCTAAAAACTTGTAAGTCTTCAGGTAGAACCAAGAGTTGCGTACTCCATTGCAGCAACTAGTCACTTTCGTTCCTTCTCCTATTCACACTCTGAGAAAGCTTAATTTGTATAGAGAAATGCAGTTGATCACTTACATACTGTCGAACTGGTGGAAATTGAGTTAAGTCTTCAAGTTAAACGCAAGGGTCCCATAACTTATATTTTAATTGAGATGGCAGCACTAATTTCCAGCACTAATTTCCAACCTGAAGTCACCTTTCAACTTTGTGAAGAGCGCTTCTTTTACGCATTGGTTTCGACGACCACTCTAGACCAATTCTTTTAGTCAGTGCGAAGAAGACAGAGGAACAAGTAACGAGCCAGAGACATTGAAAAATTCCATGGAACTAGACCGTATACTGGGCAGTATAGTGTAAATGACAAGATTTTGGTAACAGACCTCTAAGTATAAACTGGTACTTTCTCCAAAATAATTGTTGCTTTGAAGTGGTAAGCTGTTGTGAACAACGGTTCTAGGGACTCCATAAAAAGTGGATAAAGCAAGAATGAGGAAATCCGAGGAAATCCCCTTTAAGAGGGCTTTGACTCACTCTCAGCTTTACTTGACCTTAAGACACCTTAAACACCTACATCCCGGCCAATGGTTTCTATTTACAACTGGTTTGCTCTTACCTACCCGGAAGTAGCCATACCGCACATAGCGCAATGTGATTAAAATAGTTTGTGCAGTCGTTAGATGAGCATGCTAAAATGCCGCGCATCATCAGACACCCCTCTGGAGGTATCTTTTCATGCAGACACCACCAATCACAATAATGTATCAAACACACGGCGCATTAGAAAAGTGAGTGTCGCGTTCACAACGGACTTGATATCATCCCATAATGATGTCTGCTGCTGCTCAGAGTATCAGAATCTATTCGGCGCGGTTATCTAAAACAAAAGAAATTCTATAGAACGGTGGGGGTAAGCAGGTATCTCTACCAATTTCCCTTGGGATATTTTGATAAAAATATTACCCACAGCTTGAGAACGCTTAAAAATTGCTATGCTGATTCACCTACACGTCCGTTTCCGTCACTGAGCATTTTCCTATCGTTTTTAAAGAATCGTTCGCCAATTCGGGGTTGTTTTATTTGCTCTTTGATGATTTGCTTTCATAGACTACCAAATGAACTAAAAGCCGGTCATATTTTACACTTTTTGAAGACCTGTGTTTGAACTCTGAGAGCAAACGTCATAATGAAGAACAAAGAGCCTTTCCATTGACTAGTGTCCCCACTGTAACAGTTTGATGTTTAACCTCAGTAACTCAGCAAAATAGCGGAAAATAACAACCTTGCCGCATACTCATTGCATTTAAATTTTGGACTCTTCAGAACGAAAATAGAAGCCAGCCCAACACACCAAATTTATTAGCGGCATCAACGAATGCATGAAGGTAGAAAATGAATCCATACACTAAGTTGACGAAAATGCTAGTGGACGTGTAAACCGCGCTTGGTCACCAAGCTAATGCAGCCTGGATCATAAGAAGCTACTAGTATCCTTATACAAACTGAATCCTTAGGCCTAGAAAGACAATGTAGGCATTTTTGTACATTAGGCTAATGGCTAGACGGGGTGAGAACCAAGGTATCACGGTTTCAAAAGATTACTCTATCTTTAGGCTGACGAACATTACACCTGCTCGGAATACACATATGTCAAAGTAAAGCTCTCACCTCCTAAATTGTTGCCGCTGATATAATTCCGTTCCTTGTAAACCAACTAAATTCCCCAGGCACTTCGTATTTGACATCACTGAGTTCGTATTTTCATAGTCCATAGGTGATATCATATACGTTGAATAGTTGCTGGAGAATTCCGAAGGTTTGTTGCAATTATAACCACTCAAAAGCCATTTTCAGGTATTTTTGTAAGAATAACCAAACTGCTTATCTAATAAATTAAAGAACTGAGGCAGCAGAATACTGCAGGTCTTGGCCTATTATATTTGAACTTCCTTGAACCCGATCATGGCTGAAGTTTATAACTGCTAAACAAACATCTTGGGGTAGTGCATCCATTAGCTATTGCAGTGCACAAAACTTTTATCCCCAAAGTTGTGCTGGGTCATAAGTGTAAGCAAGTTAGTAATAAATCCTGGGCTAATACAAGTCACTGGTTCACCATTGCAACCCAATCACTTATGTTGATGTTTTGAATAAGAACTTGGAAGGCTTACATATTTTGTGCAGATTTAAACAAATCCTCTTGAAGTGAGAAACTTCTGCTTTGTGTATGATAGCGCGAAACTAATTATGACTAACAAATATCATTATATTAATTATCCAGTGGACGAAACTTACAAATAGGTGGTGATCAGGGATGTTCAGATCGCTCCGATTAGATGTGCTAAACTGAAAATATCTGAGCCGTTGTTAGGCAGGAATCCACGCGGATCCCACTATACCGCACGTCTTTAGGCGCTGCTACGGCCGAGAAGCCTGGCCCGCTCGAGGTTGGCCCAAAATTCGGGACGCTTGCCGGTCCGGCATCAAGACGAGATCTGATTGGTCAAAAATCTGGACCCAACAGCCAATCATGACCCAGTATTGGCCGAATGCCGGTTGCCAATGGAGCTCCAGAACGCGTCAGAAATTCCAGAAAGATATAGCCGCTTACGCTATATATACCAAGCGCTGTACAACTGTTCCTGAGTTCGTTTTGGGCGTTAATAGAACTGTTGCACCTTTGGTGTTTGTTTTTGACGTGAACGCCAGCTTGGGAGGCTCAGACCGAGAACTAAGCCGAGGAAAATACCGTTACAACAGCCGTACAAGGAAGCCACGGCATATAGTATTTTACAAGAACACATGAAGAAGATGAAGGAGCACAAACTCGCACCGGTTCCGTTTTTGGTAGGCCAAATTCCGGAGGTATCCAAATATGTTCATGCTGTTTGTGGTCGCAGAAAATGGCAAACAAAGCTATGGAAGCTACGCTTGTACTAATCTTCGGGATGTCTTTTCCGTTCGATATATGATGAATGAAGCACAAAACGATCCTAAGTGATTAGTAGGAACGGTTGATGCACCCAGACAGCTTTCTATCACCGAATCGTCTTCCAATTCTGAGTATACCACTAAAACCCAAGATTCCAAAACAATCACAACACATCCCGAATCTACTCAGTACATTGAGCGGGAACCTATCCAATACTTTTATATGGTGGAAGAAGAACCTCAAGATGTCTACCAGGTCTATCAGCCAAATGTTATGACTAGGACATCTCTAGGTTCCGCACAAATGACAGATTTAAAGCTTCACAATTCAAAAGGATCATATTTTACGGATCAGAGACCTGTTTACATGTATGTTTCTCGCTTGAAACAAAGTCACAACACGGATGGCCATTTGGCAGATTAGACTCACCGAACTTATTATTGAGCGAGATTCCATGGGTGTGCTTTTAAACTGGATTTGAGTGTAACATGCCTCGCCTAACTGTGATCGGCGACTAAATTGTTTCACATTTTGTTGGTTTTGTTTCGTTGTCTCCTCAATAGTTCCAATGAGTAAAAGGCATCGTTTTACTCTTTTTAAAAAAGTTTATTTTGCATTATTTTCCTCTGTAAATTAAATATTCTTTCAAGCTAATTGTCGTTGTCAGTCATACAAGGACGTTTTTTAAATGGTACGCTTTTTAAACTATCTTTAACTATCTCTGGAGAAAACCCATTTAACTCAAGCCTAACAACGTATTTTCTGGTTTACTACAACTAACAAAAAGTTTTCCCGCATGCACCCGTTCACTGCCATGTACGTTCCACTTTGTCGGACATTTATGGATTTGTTTATAATTGTATACACCTACAACTCTGGTCGTTTGCTTGTTCATTGAGCTAGGCAATTTGGTTGCAAACGTTTCATCACCGATCGAGGTGAGATCATCAGTGTGTTATTGGGGAGCGTAGCGGTGCGTAGCGTTGGTGCACTGAGTAGTGTTTCGTGTGTGTTAATGCACCTGCTGCTAGCCGGGAATGACCTTTGCTCGCGATTAGTATTTCGGTCGGGCAGTTCCATTAGTTGCTCCGTTATCATGTGTCCTCATTCACCGATGCCCACTTGACCTGTGAGCTTAGCATCCCCTGCCGTCGTAATCTGTTCGATGTTGGAGTGACCTGTGTCCTTTTGAGTCCTGGCTTGTGACCTTTATTGATTTGACTCCAAGGAGTTCCTTGTTTCTTTGTGAATCCAATATTTGGTCCTCCTTGAGTCTTCTACCTACCTACCTAGTTCTGAACCTCAAATTGTCTCAGCAATGAGGATAAACAGCTAATTTACATATCTGACAATTACTTTATGTTCAAATAGGACCCACAAACATTCGACCACGTCACTGACCTCACCCGGTGAAAAGGACCAGTCATAGTTGATGGATCATTGGCGTATCCCAGGATAAGTCAAATTAAGTTGGTTCTCAAAACTCCATTCATTGCTATGGATCTATCAGAATAGAGCACTTTCTGTAGGTCAATTCCGATCTGGTTTTTTGATGAATTCATTTCAGAAATCTAACTGCATATGTCTGTCTTTGACATCATGGTTTGAGACGTCGGAGTTTCCGCTCACATCACTCAAGCGCGAACATGTTCACCTGTTCAGACGTAAAATTTCTGATGAGACAAGCGTGCGCTGATGGAATAGTGGTAACAGGCGATACCCATCTGAAACTCTTACCAATAATCTTCCAAACGTATTGCAGGGATTTCTGATGGGGTATCTGTATATGCGTGAACCCTGTATTAACGGTCAGAGTCACTGCGCTACTATAAAATGGGCTGCAGTTTTTGATAATACATCGCGGTTAGGGATAACAATAATTATGGCTACAACAATAGTGCTGATGTTTACGTTAATTCTTCCGCTGTGATACTTTTTGGTTGCAGCTCGACGAAAATCCAAGTGGTGATATAAAGCTAGTTGCCCGAATCTCGAACCGTGGATGCTGTGGTCAGTCATGAGAGGAATTCGGCTGCCGAAATATCTGACTGTCCGCTAACCAGCTTAGCGTAATATCAAACAGAGACCGCCTGGTGTATGCACACAATTTAGTATATTGTATGTTTGCGTCACACGTTTACTTAGCACCATCCTACAGTTATTAATTCATAGGACGCCGAGTAATTTGCAGGCTAGGAAGTCCAAGTAATCTCCGATGTACCTCATACGAAGTTCTTTCTAATAGGTGTGTGAACTTGTGCACAGAAACGCGAATGTTGATATAATTAGGCTGTAAACTGACGTTAAAATGCATAAAAGAAGATTGCGCATCTTTGTCCACCAGAAGCATGATAAAGTCCAAAATGTCGCAGTATTAGTTGGTATTCTGGATTCACAGGGGGTAGCAAATCCACACGATGTGAACAGTACTTTTTGGATAGCAGCCAGGCCAACACTTCCAACAGTGTGCTGGTAATTACCATCTGACCATGGTGGAACGCTACTGCTTCAGCTGCCGAGGAATACACAGAAAAAGCAAGTTGATGATCTATGGAGAAAACGTCTGAGCAATAACTGGCATGAAGAGTCTAAAACCACCTGAATGAAATGGCCATTCCTATATAAGCTCCTCGTGTATTTAAAGGGGCTGGCCAAGAAGGGACTATGATAATCACAAGAGATATCAGTATGTTGTTGCACAACATATAATACCAGCACTTAACGTAATAATATAATAATAACCTGCTCCCCCTCAGTTTCATTGCGATCCAATTATAGCGGAATTGTTCTACAACTATTCTTATTCAGGTGAATGCTGGGTGGGAACTATACTTCTTAGTAAAGGGACAGGTAACCTTGTTTCCCCTTCCGTCTTCTGTGGTAGACAGCAAATCATTCCGAAATGCTACTGAATAATGGTTTGCATTAACTGTGTCAATCATGACCTCAACGTACACTACTATTACCATGGGTCAAGTGTGGTTTTCCGAATGCTAAAATGTTTTCTAATTCTTCCCCTCAGAGATGTAAATATACAGTGAGTGAGGGAACGTTCTTCCTACCGGATTTTAGCACACATAGCAATCCCCAGTCTTGGCTGCAGCTATATTGCTATCACTAAAATTAGATAGGACCGTACAAACCCATTCCGCTCCCACAGAGGGCAGTGTAGTATGGTGGAATCCTTCTCGCAATGAGACATCTCCTGCCCGAAATACGTGAATATCTAACATAATCCCTTCGCATATCTAGTGTAACCCAATTGATATCTACATAACAAGGGGTCGATATCCAGTACACGCCAATTTATTGTTTCAGTAACCAGAAATAACTTGGTGCTGTTGCCCTCACCCGCCGCCGTCATTTTAAAGTGACCGTGTCGATCTCCATTCCAGAAAAACATTTGTTAATATATGGATAAGTGTATAAGTGTATAGTGGATAAGTGGATAATTGAATTTCCAACATGCTGTTGTATCACCAGACACCGAATAAAAGAAAAACAGAAATAATGATCTCAATAATTTCGAAGATTGTTGTCCGCTCCAAAACCCCAACTCTCCTTCGGTTTCATTTAGGGACGTGCGAGATTCTCCTGCATGCCCAAACGAAATGAAAATATACTGACTCCCTGTTGAGGCGTTGATTTAACCTCAAATTGGACTAGTCATTTGCTGCATCCAGAATATTCGTAGTCATGGGATCTTTTCGATGTTTACCTCAACGTTTTTCTTTCCTTTCTCGCATCGCTTTATGTGTCAGAAAGTCGTTATCGCACAAATTCCTGGCCTTCATTCCAGGTTTTATCTGGCCACGTTGAATAGTGCAAACGAGATGACTGTACTCGTTTTCAGCTTCAGTAAAAACTTTTGATTGCACAGACGCAATGCAGTTTATCAAAATCTGTCAAATCCTTACTCGTCAGAGAAATTAACAAAGAATTGTAGTTAGTTATAAAAATCGGCCAATTAAACCGGAATTCAAAACTGAGATGTAGTCCAATAAAACTAGACAGTCTAACGCATACGCAATGTAATGCAACCTCTGCAGCCCATAGTTTGGTCCTCTGTGTTCTGGAACACCGGTTGTTTGGACTATCACCATATCACACAATAATCAGGCCGGGGAGAGTTGGAGCAATTCATGTCAAACAGTATCCAGCGTGCCTCATGAAGACCGCTCTTTCAGTGTTCTTCCAGAACCACAAACAGTAATTGGTGGGTGGGGTAAACTAAACCTGCCACGGAAGTAGGTGCGGTCAAGCTACGTCATCGAAAGGAACGTGCATAAAAAACGGAACATTTTCCCAAATAGCGAACGGTAGGAGGAGGGCTGCATGAACAAGAGCACTATGGGTGCAAATTTGGCAAACTGCGCAACCATCTACAATTCCAAGAGCTTTTTACATTTCTGTTAGGCGAAATGCGATAGAATGCAACTAGTTGATGCACTTGATCTGCACTTGAGTTCCGTATCGATCGAATGGAAAATTTCGCACTCCTGTGCGTAGTCTTCTGGCTGCCTGTCATGCTCGCACATAGGATCTCCTTGCGAATGCCATTCACTTGGAATTCCGCCCACTTGGTAATGGAAAATGGGGAAGTAGGGATTTGAGAAGGAGATAGCACTTTGAAGCAAACAATTCCAACTTGTTTGGTCCCTGTAAAGCTACTCAGAGAAAGCCAGAATAGCGCACGGTTGATTACCATTTGCAGGGAATTGTGGTAACCATTGACACAAAGCTCAGATTGAAGCGAGAAAGGAGTTGTTCATCAGATTTTTAGATAGCTCTAAAAAATTTTTTTGGCGCACAACTTTATTTTTATTGATTGCGGATATCCGTGTTTGTAGAAATTACTTCAGTTCAAGAGAAAAGATCAGACACATCAGCTCTGGAAGTGTAATCCCATTTAATACTTAGCAAAAACGGCTGATGGCTGTGTGCACACACTCATAAAAATATCCTTCCGTCGATAAACCACAACGAACACATACGACCTGTGTAATCCACTTGATCATATCTGAGGCTAAAGAAATCACAGTTGCCAAGATTGCTTCGTCGCTGTCCGGTACAGTGAGAAATTTGTTGCCTTGGGACAGAAAGTCATGATCAACGAACTCTCAATGTAAATAAAGCTGCCGCATATTTCACACTGAGATGAGCATCATCACAGTAAACTTGCCTTAACATGTGAAGTTGCGACTAATCGATATGATCGTGTGACCATTTTCACAGGCTTTTGCTTATCTAAATGCCAAAATTAGGTGGGAAACATTAAATAACGGTACAAAGTGGCACTCCTAACAGCGTTAATTCGGGTTTAATTTCACACCTATGTTTATGAAATGTATAGGTTTTAATTTTGAGGTAACTTATAATAGTGGACGACAACAAGGCCCTAAAACAATCTCCGCATTACTCACATTGTGTTGGGTGTGGTGTCACTTTCAGAGTCCAGCTTTGTGGACAGCTTCGTTACATGTCGTTTCCAAGAGAACTAGAATGAAGAAACAAGTGAAGATGGCAAGATCTCTTTTAGAAGATAGTTAACTCAACAATACACGCAGTCTTAAGGTTTCTGATACAGAACTTTGAGTCATGTGTGGATTTGACGGTCCAAATATCAGAAGGACTAGGTTCGAAAGTCTCCAGCACCATTTACACAAAATGGGCAAAATTATGGAACGAACCCCGAGTGTCGCAAATGCTCAAGTCTGTCGCTGACCCGCACAATGCGGTGTCAAGGACCGCACAGAACAAAGCGGCGAGCCGTGCGGTTTGGGGTTGTCTTTCCAGCAGCCAGTTTCGTGGTTCTGATTGGTGGGGGGATCACACAGAGCTCACGGCAGAACCAGGGAAGGCTCAGCGGATGAAGTGCGAACATGCATGGGTGATTAGTTTAGCGACGCAGATGAACACGCATACGCATGGTGATATACTGGTGTCGGACGGGGTGACCCTTGCGGCAAGGTGAATGGCGGGTACGGATAAACGAAACAAGTGGAGATCAAAAGTACATGGACCTAGTAAGCATATAGATGGGGGAATCACCATGTAGTTCTTTTAGATTCCAAATGCTGCGTATTACGTGCACATAATGTACTGCGTACTCACATGGTAATGTAACATCTAACCTTATTCTCAGACATACCGGCGTGCTGAGTTTCCATCGCTTGGAATTGTTTTCTGGGCATGGGCTCATACGTCACAACAAGGATTCAAAAGACAGATTCAATACACTCAGCTGAGTCTCCCGTGGGAACCAAACTGGTACGCAAATGAGCTTATCTGCCGATAATATGAAACCTTCCCTTGGCGAGTCAAGACATAACAAAAGATAGCTAATTATGAACGTTGTTCTTTTTTGAACAACAGAATTAGCACCTCAGACATAGCTGGGCTGCTCAACTTTTACACACTGAGTACTCCTGTGGCAGCTCTGCTAGAATAACCTCAGGTAACCCACCTGCTAACAACCACCGACAACGTAAATGGCCTTATTCGAATCACCAAATCCATCCATTAGAAATACCATACCATAACACGATCAGTTTGAGAACAAGTGATCCAGTTAGGTGAACGAAGGTCAGCCGGGGGAACCAAAATCTTTACTTGAAAGAAACTCGGTAATCATTGTTTTTCTTCGAGTATTAAAGAGCTTAACCACCGAAGAGTGCTAGTTGGATCCTACTCATGGCAAAATCAGCGTGCAATTCGCCTGTTACTTACGATCCTGGTCTCAGCTTGCTCAACAGGTATCTGCTTTGTGCGCCGTGAACAGTATCCGTGGTACTCACTGTGGATGCGTTGTACAAAGCCGAAACGTAAAAATCAAGTCACCTTGTCGTCTGTATCCAATATTCACCAGCTGCACTTAACATCTCTGGATTATCGCGAGAATGAGCTTTTCTGCAGTACATCACTACCGAAGAGGACAGACTGTGTTGACTTAAGTGGCCCAGATCGGCCAGTCATCAGGCATTGGTGCCAGTCATGACAATGAGGCAGGTTATATTTCCCTTATGGCAAGTACACAAACAATCATGTGAGTTCGGGGCGATGTATTTAGTCAAAACCATGCTGGTATAAACAACGCGCTCACATGCTGAGAAAGTTTTTGCTAGTGCGTGCAATATTTTAGAGATGGCTGGTCTCAAATCCGATACGAGCCTGTAGAAATTCAAAAGTAGCTGGACTCCAGATAGAAATGCTCTAGGCGATGGGCAAACCTTCGGGTTTCATTACAGACTCTGAAGACCTCTTGAGAAAACTTACTATGGCACCGCCCTCCAATATCCAGCCGGATATTTTGATTGCATGACCAAGCATCCTAAGAATTTTGTTGATGCATCTGGATAATACATATGGAGTATGGTTGTTGGTCTGTTCGCCGAGCTTGGCAGCTGGATTGCAAACGTTTCATCACTAATCGAGGTGACATCCCTGAACTGACGACGTCACCTCGATTGGTGATTAAACGTTTGCAATCCAACAGCCAAGCTCGGCGAACAGACCAGCAACCAGACAGCGCACCTGAGCTACCCACATTACACCATATTGCTAGCATATGGAATATGTATTCGATATGTTTGGTCAACCAACACCCAATCTAAGTTCAAAAACCATGGCAGCTACTTGCTTTTGTAGAGTATTCTTCTGTGTTCTCTACTGACTGAGCACTTCGGAAGTACCTGAAAGGTTATAATTTAGCACCTAATTTACTTTTACCACCTTACAATGCGTTTAAAGTTCCCATTTTTCCAATCTAATCGAGGCGTATAAATATTGTTGTCTGCAGCCGACACCAATTTACTTGCGACAGTAGTTTCTTTTACCACCTTACAATGCGTTTAAAGTTCCCATTTTTCCAATCTAATCGAGGCGTATAAATATTGTTGTCTGCAGCCGACACCAATTTACTTGCGAACAGTAGTTTCTTTGAACGCATGCATCTGGTTGAAAGAAGAAATGGCTTTTGCAGAGCTGAACGATAGCCAATGGATTCAATTTAAGTTTCGGTGAATAAGAATAACAGATGAACAGTCAGAGAGCTGTTCAGTAACCACCTATTCGCGATACATGGCATACATTAGGTGTTAGGGATATCGTCCGAACAATCTAACCAATGTTCAGTTGAGGCGTCCTTTGTTTAAATGACCACAGATCCCCGTAAGAGATGTAACGAATGCCAAGCTGTGAGCCTGAAATTTGGTTAGCTGTGTTCAAAAATACGTCAGGGAGAAGCTCATCCATTACAAAACTTCCGTCCTCGTTCTGACGCACTTGGCAAGGATCCCATTTAGCCCGCTAGCCTTAATTTTGGTGACCTGACCACGTCCTCTAGAGCCCATACCTGTTCAAAAAAACGGCATGATAATCTGTTGATAGTTTAAGTTTTAACAGAAGGCATCGCTGTGCCAGCTTCTCCTTATCAGCAAAGTCCCTTTTCATCCTCTTCCTGAGGAAGGTAAAAGTACCCGTAGATAAAGTAACAGTGGATATTTTCTCCTGACTTAACAGTATCCGTGCCAAAAAACACAGATTGTCGTTCGAATTATGTAGTTAATTATAATTTTTCTGCGTTTTAGCACGCTCGAAGCCAGTTAATGACAAACCTGAACAAATTACTTCAGCTAGAGGAATCCGCAGACTCCCCAAAGCTGTTGAAAGCGAATAAACCACATAAGGCCACACGCGATGCATCCACAACGAATTACGAATACCTGTTCAGTGCTTGCAAGGGAACGGACAGGCAACCGTCTGCAGGCTTTGGGAACCTGTACTGTGACCATGGAAGATCTGGGATTGACGTAAACAAGAAACAACAGCCAGGGCAAGAAAGTTCGTTCAGACTGAATGATCAAGAATGCCAGACAGACTTCCCCATGAAGACGCACCACAATGCACTCTACGAACACATGTCGGTCTCAGGTGATCAGATCAACGATTGTGCAACTGAAGATAACTCACCATGTTTACCAAACAAAGCCCCAGTAAAACCTTTATTCGACCTTGGTGTGCAGTCTACAACGGTATCAGCCTTGGCAGCAGTGGCTGCGGTTGCTGCAGCTTCCTTCTTGTCAAAGACAATGAACCAGGTGCATGGGGTAACAGAGGTTCCTAACCCTAGACGATCGTCAGATCAATTGCAGTCACAGGCAGCAGACAAGCAGGAACGCAGGCAAGGAGCGGAATCCTGCACCCCAGTGTTACAACGTATACTACCATCCGATAAGGTAAGCTTATTAGAAACTACATTTTCTGGGTAGGTGTGGAGTTCACTGCTAATCATGCGACGACGACCTGGCCTGTTTATTACGTACTTTTCGTCTTTCTGTTTGTAAGTTGGTTTTCCCTTTGTTTGTTTTGCCTGCTTGATTGTTCGAACCCATGCAAATGTTTGCTGATATTCTACGACGTGGAAGGATATCTCTTCAAAATGTGTCTGAGAGAGGTGGGTTCATAAAATACTGTATCACCGAATGACTACGAAGACAGGCAAGAAGAACTCTGTTTCCACTTACATATCCGTTCGAAAATAAGTTAACAAGGTAACTTGAGACATGGGCAGTCAACTATCCCACGGGTATTTTGGTGCTTTAGAGCTGATAAGAGATTGACGTGTGAAAAGTATGTACTACCTTACAATACGACACAGTGATACTGGCAGTGAGGAGAAAAAGGTGGAATGTCAACCGTTATTTGAATGTCATGTAGTCAGTAAGCACAGACGAGTGCTTTGGTTGAGACTTCAACCCAAGTCCAGTCGTAACCACTGACACATTTAGTACATAGATGCCATTCAACAAGGAGGGTTCCAAGAGCCCAGATACCATGAGGTTACCTGTTAAACCACGGAAAACAAGCTTCAGGTTCAGTTTATGGACCTCCTATTTGGTAGCTGGCGCTAAAACACTAAACTATTCCAACTAAACATCTAAGAATGATAAAAAAATATGTAATCTAATAGATCTTCTTTCGCAGTTTTCCTTCTTGCTGTATTCGTGTACGTATAGGCAGCTGATTTTTCTACCGGTGACTGCTCATCACTAATGATCAGAACGTCTGCCCAACGCAGAACAATGTTGCTACTACAGTAGAATCGCTTCAATATGGAGTTGTTGGTTGTGCAATAGAATGCTATTCACACGACAAAAAATTACTTGATGGCCCAGAGTCACATGACCAAGCGAAAGGACCCAGAAAGTGGTATTCAAGTCTNAGGCAAGAAGAACTCTGTTTCCACTTACACATTCGTTCGAAAATAGGTTAACAAGGTAACTTGAGACATGGGCGGTCAACTTTCCCACGGGTATTTAGGTGCTTTAGAGCTGATAAGAGATTGACATGTGAAAAGTATGTAGGACACAGTGATTCTGGCAGTGAGGAGAAAAAGGTGGAATGCCAACCGTTATTTGAATGTCATGTAGTCATTAAGCACAGATGAGTGCTTTGGTTGTGACTTCAACCCAAATCCAGTCGTAACCACCGACACATTTAGTACATAGATGCCATTCAACGAGGAGGGTTCCACAAACCCAGATACCACGAGGTTACCTGTTAAACCATGGATAACAAACTTCAGGTTCAGTTCATGGACCTCCTAGCTGGTAGCTGGCGCTAAAACACTAAGCTATTCCCATTAAACATCGAAGAATGATAAGAATATGTATTCTAATAAATCTTCTTTCACAGTTTTCCCTCTTGCAGTCTTCGTGTACGTATAGGCAGCTGATTTTTCTACCGGTGACTACTCATCACTAACGATCAGAACGTCTGCCAAACTCAGAATAATGTTGCTACTACAATAGAATCGCTTCAATATGGAGTTTTTGGTTGTGCGATAGAATTCTATTCACACGACATAAAAAGTGCTTGATGGCCCAGAGTCACGTGACCAAGCGAAAGGACCCAGAAAGTGGTATTCAAGTCTTTCTCAGGAGTTTGGGGTGTCAAACTCGTCTGGAGAAGCCAAGCTGGCAGATGGTCTGATCAATGTTATGCCTCATCCATCCATCACTCGTCAGACGTTTCACATTGCATGCTGCGTGAAAAAATCACACCTACAACATTCCATATCCATCATAACGACAATGTTATTCCAAATGAGAGCAATATTTGTAAAGGTGACGATTAGGGTAGACAATTCTTTGTTGCATTATTTTGTTTGACCCTTATGCTCCTAAGCTAAGCTCAACTAAGTGTTCTTCCGGAAAATCTTCTGACGGGTTTTCTTTTCCTTCACTTCAGTATCTGAATTTCATTGTCAACAAAACAACACAACCGCCAGAAGCATGTACAATTCGTACTCCTAACCTAATGATGCATCAACCTTACCCCTGATTAATCTGGGTGTTGGTTGGCAAGTGGATAGGTGGTGATTTGTGGATGTCGAGTGAAATCGCTAGTAAAAATCACAACAGTATCACAGATAACCACCTCACCTGAAGCATGTTGACTCGAAACTTTGGAAAGAACTTGCCGAATACGTGGGAACGGTGTGTGAGAACCGGTTTCACCGGAGCAGTCGAATGAATTGTCCCCAGGGGACACCATATGATTTAGTGACTCGCCTTTGGTAGCAAAACTATGCCTTCCTCCAATTGTTCAAATTGATTGAAGCGTCTTAATCTAGAGTTTGAAAAACAATGCATTGATGGCAGTTTTTTCTGATTCTGCTGGATGACAAGCACAGAATTCTTCATATTCCTTTCGGCTAATTAGGCTTAAGACAAGTTCTTTTTAGAACTACTGCTACTTACTCGTCTAAAGATTCGATTTGTTTTGTTCAGATATGTTTTTGAATGCAAGGTGTGTGCTCAGACTGGTTAAAATGACCGGTTAAACTTCTGAATCGTTCCCTTTGTGAATTATACTTATTCTGTTTATTCGTCTGTCCTTTGGGTGGAGATGGGTAAGGGGCATATTGAGCAAAAACTGTCGATACATGGCTGATGTGCTGTACATCACTAGCATAAAGTGAATAACATTTCTGCATATCGGTCTGGTGATCTGAACTTAACTGACACATCGACAGTTGCCTGAGCCAGTCTGTTTCTGTTCATATAAAGATGCCCTAAGTTAAAATGCAGTGGAACCGTACTATACTGGCCTACAGTAGCCTAAGGTTACCTGAGATTATCGGTCAACTCATGACTCCCACGAATAATCTACAGAAGACTGTCTTCAGAATTTACCTTTGAAGGGTCAGACAGGCTAAATAAAGGCTTAAGTCGGCCGAGGCACAACTTCCAATGATGATCCGATAATTTTAATCCGGTTTGTGGAGGTTGGCGTTAGGTAGACTGAAATCCATGTCATCTTCAACATGCAACAATAAAAAAATAAACTTTATCGACGGACCAAAAGTGTCACCGTAAAAACAAGTGTCATGTGTTACGTTTCTCACCAGTCTGGACCAGGGTTTAAGGAAAAACTCAGTTTTACCCATCACGGTTCATATTTTCTATCAAGTGTACTTTTCAAACAGAATATCGTGCGCTCCATCAAACGGTGTATTCGTACATTCACAAATAAGTACAACCAGATCCAATTTAACCCTTACACAAGTACACAATGTCATCTTGTTGCTTACTGGAAAATTTGCAACAAGACGACAGCTCGAAACAACCTTGAACACAATCTCAAAACTTCGAAAAAGTCTTCAGTCCGATGGGAAAATAACCGAGGCCGTCATTCGGCCCTCAGAACCACACAAACCACACAAAGCATTCAACAGGGCACGAGATTTTGTGCTGGAAACTTGCACACGTTTTGACATAATGCCACAAGTGGCATGAGAAAACTAACTTTTTTCCGGTAAGATATATTTAACCCGGGTCTCCACGAAAGGAAACAGTTCTTAATATCGACTAGGTGAGCCTCTCTGGTTACATATACTATTTCCCACTGGCCTTCATAAAATAAAAAACTCTCTAATTATTCGTTATGAAATGCTTGCAGCGTGTGTTCACTATTTGATCCCTATCTGCTAACGTAATTAAGTGCGAGTGCACAGAATAAGGTAACACTAGTTCCACTGACTGCGGTCAGTTCTGGTCCCAAGACAGCCTAACACCCATCGAAACTTTGGAAAGAACTTGCCGAATACGTGGGAACGGTGTGTGAGAACCGGTTTCACCGGAGCAGTCGAATGAATTGTCCCCAGGGGACACCATATGATTTAGTGACTCGCCTTTGGTAGCAAAACTATGCCTTCCTCCAATTGTTCAAATTGATTGAAGCGTCTTAATCTAGAGTTTGAAAAACAATGCATTGATGGCAGTTTTTTCTGATTCTGCTGGATGACAAGCACAGAATTCTTCATATTCCTTTCGGCTAATTAGGCTTAAGACAAGTTCTTTTTAGAACTACTGCTACTTACTCGTCTAAAGATTCGATTTGTTTTGTTCAGATATGTTTTTGAATGCAAGGTGTGTGCTCAGACTGGTTAAAATGACCGGTTAAACTTCTGAATCGTTCCCTTTGTGAATTATACTTATTCTGTTTATTCGTCTGTCCTTTGGGTGGAGATGGGTAAGGGGCATATTGAGCAAAAACTGTCGATACATGGCTGATGTGCTGTACATCACTAGCATAAAGTGAATAACATTTCTGCATATCGGTCTGGTGATCTGAACTTAACTGACACATCGACAGTTGCCTGAGCCAGTCTGTTTCTGTTCATATAAAGATGCCCTAAGTTAAAATGGAGTGGAACCGTACTATACAGGCCTACAGTAGCCTAAGGTTACCTGAGATTATCGGTCAACTCATGACTCCCACGAATAATCTACAGAAGACTGTCTTCAGAATTTACCTTTTGGCCTACAGAGCCTAAGGTTACCTGAGATTATCGGTCAACTCATGACTCCCACGAATAATCTACAGAAGACTGTCTTCAGAATTTACCTTTGAAGGGTCAGACAGGCTAAATAAAGGCTTAAGTCGGCCGAGGCACAACCTCTAATGATGATCCGATAATTTTAATCCGGTTTTTGGAGGTTGGCGTTAGGTAGACTGAAATCCATGTCATCTTCAACATGCAACAATAAAAAAATAAACTTTATCGACGGACCAAAAGTGTCACCGTAAAAACAAGTGTCATGTGTTACGTTTCTCACCAGTCTGGACCAGGGTTTAAGGAGAAACTCAGTTTTACCCATCACGGTTCATATTTTCTATCAAGTGTACTTTTCAAACAGAATATCGAGCGCTCCATCAAACGGTGTATTCGTACATTCACAAATAAGTACAACCAGATCCAATTTAACCCTTGCACAAGTACACAATGTCATCTTGTTGCTTACTGGAAAATTTGCAACAAGACGACAGCTCGAAACAACCTTGAACACAATCTCAAAACTTCGAAAAAGTCTTCAGTCCGATGGGAAAATAACCGAGGCCGTCATTCGGCCCTCAGAACCACACAAACCACACAAAGCATTCAACAGGGCACGAGATTTTGTGCTGGAAACTTGCACACGTTTTGACATAATGCCACAAGTGACATGAGAAAACTAACTTTTTTCCGGTAAGGTACATTTAACCCGGGTCTCCACGAAAGGAAACAGTTCTTAATATCGACTAGGTGAGCCTCTCTGGTTACATATACTATTTCACACTGGCCTTCATAAAATAAAACAACTCTCTGAATATTCGTTATGAAATGCTTGCAGCGTGTGTTCACTATTTGATCCTTATCTGCTAACGTAATTAAGTGCGAGTGCACAGAATAAGGTAACACTAGTTCCACTGACTGCGGTCAGTTCTGGTCCCAAGACAGCCTAACACCCATGGAATATATCAGGTTGGCCAATCGCTGAACGGACAGCTTTGTCTGCTCACAGAATGGTACAAAGACAGTTAGTCAATATTGAAGATAAACCGGTAACCTCAGTCGCAGTTTGGACAGACTAGGAGTTCTCCACCCTAATTTTTGCGGATTATTAATTATTTTTCACCAAGTTGCAGCATGGCCTATGGAAGAATAGCTACTAGATTTAGGGAAACGATAGAAATCTAAAGTTTCCAAATTCTGTCAGCAGTCAGCTGCCAACCGGATTTAGGCGTCACCCACAAACCCGAAATACCGGCAAAAAAGTTAATCGGGAAAACTGGGATGGATCAGCTGCGGTAATTGGAAGAAAAACTGCATTGAAAGACTGTTTTTCAAGGGCACCAGTGAAATTGCATGTTGCTGTGGTGTAGGAATGACTTAATGGCCCTGTCTGTGGTGCAACAAGCATAGTTTTCTCAAATCAGTAGTAGGCAGATTCGAAGTGCACTCTGATGATTACACTAGCCGTTGCTTTTTCACCGAACGAAAGTGGCGTTGCTGTGGTTTTTGGGCGCAAGTGCATGTGTTTATTTTCATCGTGCATTTGCATGCCGTCATTCCTTTACTTTTGGTTAGATTCAACTCCTCCTAGAAAAAGGAGATAGCAGTCGTAATCACACCAAACAATATAGTTGAACAAATCTGAGTGTGACTGCAAATTAGCAGTTTAACTCTAATCTGTAGTATTTGGTCAGTGATTGTTCCGTAACTAATCCAGGAAACCACTGTGGGTGAACCAGGTCGACACAATTTCATTTGCTTACAATCTAAAGGTTTGCTGTTTTGTTTACAACCATGTGAGTGGAAGTGTATCGCGGTATGTTGTCTTCAGACAAAGTGGAACACTGGGCAATACGTCCACTTTTTTGTCTAAGAACCTATCAGTTAGGGAATATTATTTCCGGTCAAGGGCTTTTACGACCCAGCGTTACGATCTTTCGATAGTCCTGCGTTTTTAGGACTGGCGAATGCAAAAAATTATGCCAACTAATAGCATAAGGGGTTAATTTGAGATTTTTCAGAGCACTGACTGACAAGTGAAGTTGAAGTGCACGAAGACTGATGTGCGCGAACGATGCTACATTGCTGAACGTCACTTTGAGGAAGGTTCAGCTTAATGACAAGCTGAGTTAGAATTTCTGGGACTGTTAGACGCCTAACTGCATGATGCGCTTTCATTTTTGGCCACTTCCAGGTTTTAGAAGTGCGTTGGAATTTACTTTTTAGATAGGCTGGAAATTAATTGATATTTGTGAAAATCCCCTTTACTCTCTCGGTGCGAGATGGTACACCTTGTCAAAAATACATCAACGAACACAAGTATGGTTGCTTAATACTAGAAATTCCATTGGGCCACTTGGGTCAGAGACCAAATCTCCTTTGCTGTACATTTCCTTTGCACTCTGAACTCGGTTCCGGTTTGCACTGAAAAAGCGCACCGAACTAATTACGACCAGCAGGATAGACGGGTGCCATTTCTGACCCCAAACCTCAGCTTGGTGGCTGTCTTGAAAAGATTGTTTTGAATGCATCGGTGAAGAGAGAAGTAAAATTGTTCTAGATTGTTCAAGAGATGGTTTACTACATTTGGGCAACAACCGACAATCGAAATATTCTGCCCACATTTCCACACCCTCTTCTCAGCAGAAGATCAGAGAGTCATTATGGTCTCCGATCGTTTTGCTGATAAGAGCTTCTTGTGGTGGCCAATGTGGGATCAAAATACTTTCACCTGCAAAGTTGATGGTTGTAAGGGAGCTGAGACAATCCCAGGAGCATAAATTCACACAGAAAGACAAGTAGAGCTCTCAGCCAACGCCATAGATTCAAAAGCCTAGCCACAAAATAGTGGGTTGATATCAGCACAGTAACATACATATTTACGAAATAAGTCACCCATGTGCTCCAACCCTTAAAAGTATAACCTAGGGCTTGTGTTCCTCATTCTTGCACACGCTGAAAAAAACCTCCAC